CCCCCCCCCTCCGGTGTTCGTGAGTGCAGTTGCAAACTGAAATCGTGTAAAAACTGCAGTGGACACACACCATTCCTTTGCGGACATGCAGAAAACACGCTTATATGGATGTCAAACCTGAAATCGTGACGCAAGCGAGACTGGGGCACGCCTGAAAACGACAAAGTAGTAATTACCGACTGTCTTGAATGTAAACACAACTAGAGATCTCTCGCTGACAGCGCTGCATTGTAGCCACGTATTTCCCAGAGTTAGCTGAAGAATAGCCTAAACAAAACATAAGCATCTTGACATAATCACTCGGCTGTAATAATCGCATGCATTAGGCTATCACTCACAGCATTCCGGAGCACGACGTGCATACGAAGCAGCCCACAGTGATGTCGATGTAAGTCACCCCAGGCTGGCTGCACTCGAAGCAGTGCTTGTTCACTCCCGTCTGGGCGAGCTCTCGGACCTTGCGGGCGCATATTTCCTGGTTGTCCCGGTGCTTTCGGTTCGACATGCTGGTGTCCTGCAGTCGCACACACCCCCTGGCCCTCAAGACGTTCACTCGGCCGCCGTTGCACTTTAATTCCTCCGCCGTAGTAGCCTATGTTTCTTCTCACGCCCGCATTCTGAGAGCGACTATGCGGCTGGAGGTCTTCTCATGCGCCAGCGATCTTACATGCGTAGTCTCCCGTGGTCACGACTGCCCGATCCGAGCGGAGTTTTACAACCGCCCTGTTTATTTATTCATTGCTGCGGGTTTCTCCTCTGGGCGCAAAGAAAATCCGGGCTCGTTATTCTTCCTCGCTCTGCGGATTCCTCTCCGTTCGCGCGGTATCACACCGTTCAGACTTTGCTGTTGCGCACCCTGCACCCGTCTTTCCTCTCGCAGATTCTGGGGAGATTGCGAACAGAAAGCAAGAGGAGGACGAAGGAGGCAACTCTGTGCCTCTGGAAAGCGCGCGTGAACGCAGTGGGGATGAAGCTGCTTAACAATATTTTGTTTATGATGGCTGTGTGCTCATTATTTTGTGCTTATTTATTTCCAGTGTTACCCAGCAACGTCAGATTTTTATCTTGGACGCTTATCACGCCCTTCTGTATGACGTTTGAAATCAAAAATGCTGTCCTTCGTGTGTTTATTAACTCTTTACATGAAGTGCCCGATCAACACGCAGTGTCCCTCTTGGACCGCGAATGAAAAAGAATAGCGTTGGGATCAAATGGAGAACACTTTAGATGAATTTGAAGGGAGTGCATGCTGACACATTCTTGTGTTAAATCACATTAGCGGAGACGTCTCAGCAGTTGTACTGATGTAATGTTGGCCTGGTTCCTGGTCTTGCAGTGAGTCTATGGTGAAAACACAGGATGCGTGAACTGCAGTGGCGACTTCCAACCAGCAGAGGTAGCGGTTTCGCCAAACATACGATTTAGCTGTAATTCGTTCACAGAAATGCACTCTGTAAAGTCACCACAACTGCCATATTTCCCAGGGTTTCTGCAGGTCTTAAAGGGATAGTTAACCCAAAAATGAAAATTTGATGTTTATCTGCTTACCCCCAGGGCATCCAAGATGTAGGTGACTTTGTTCTTTAGAACACATATGATGATTTTTAACTCCAGCCGTTGCAGTCTGTCAGTCGTATAATGCATGGCAATGGTAACAAAATCTATGAGAGTAAAAAAAACATGCACAGACAAATCCAAATTAAACCCTGCGGCTCGTGACGACACATTGATGTCCTAAGACACGAAACGATCGGTTTGTGCCAGAAACCGAACAGTATTTACATAATTTTTTACCTCTAATACACCACCATGTCCAACTGTCTTTGGGCGCGCGCACGGCATCCGGTGCGTGAGGTGTGTACGCGCTCTAGTTTACGTTAATGGGTGTGTTGATATCCAGCCGAAGAGAAATCAACCATAACTTCAGGCGAGCAGGCTCAGAAGTTGGGAATACATGGAAAGTCACCACTCCCAAATGAGTTCGCGCGAGAGAACGTAATCTTTTAGTTTTAAGTCAGTTTGAACAATCCAGATAAGCGCAAGTAAGTACCATTTTGATTAGCCGTCGTACCTACAATGACTGTGCACTGTGTAAACAATGAGTGACGTATATGCGCGAGAGATCACTTCCGCCAGAGCGCGTACACACATCACGCACCGGAAGCCGTGCACGCGCCCAAAGACAGTTGGACATAGTGGTGTATTAGAGGTAAAAAAAAATGATATAAATACTGTTCAGTTTCTGGCACAAACCGATCGTTTCGTGTCTTAGCACGCAGATGTGGCGATACGAGATGCAGGGTTTAATTTGGATTTGTCTGTGCATGTTTTTTTTACTCTCATAGATTTTGTTACCATTGCCATGCATTATACGACTGATAG